TTCGGCCAATCAGCCCAGGGCTGAGGCGGAGCCTGGGGCCACGGGGGCTGGTACAGCCAATCAGCACAGGTCTGTGCCTGGGGGCGGAGCCTAGGGCCAGCAGAGACCCTGGCACCAGAAAGACCCTTTCCCTGGTGGGAAGGCTGTACAGGAAATGATGTCAGAGACCAAGCGAGGGACAGGAAGTGATGTCTAAACTCAGTATGTATCATTTCCTGTGGGCAATGAAATCCCTCTGACCAACAGGAAGTGATGCGTTTGGGCCCCATGGTTACCAGGAAGTGATGTCAGAGCAGCCTCATTGGCCCCGCCCTGAAGCTACTTCCCCTGGGCCCCCCCTGCCCTGCCCCCCCCATGGGCTCCTGGGCCCGGAGTCACGGGAGCCGCCCCGAGGGGTGGGGGGCTGGGCTGGGCGGGGCTCACCGTGGGCTGCATGAGGTATGACTGATGGTGCATCCAGGACGGGCTGTGAACCTGCGGGCAAAGAGGGGTGTCAGCGGGTCCCTGGGCCCAGCCGGGGGGGTCACACCCCGATGGCCCCCAGCCCCCGACACGGCCCCCCAGCCCCCCACACGGCCCCCCAGCTGAGGTCTCACCCCGACACAGCCCCCAACACAGCCCCCCAGCCGGGGGAGTCTCACCCCAACACGCCCCCCAGCCCCCGACACAGCCCCCCGGCTGGGGGTCATACCCCAACGCAGCCCCTCAGACACGGCCCCCCGGCTGGGGGTCACACCCTGACACAGCCCCCTTCCCCCTCGGCTGGAAGCTCCTTGACCAGGCCCCCGGCAGCCCCCCCGCGCTGGTACCTGGTAGGAGGACATGGGTGACGGGAGGTAAGGGGCGAGCGTGGTCTGAGCCATCATCCTGTTGGGGGCCAGGCTGTAGGGGGTCGGGTAGAACCTGTGGAGGGAGGAGGGTGCCGGGTGTCACGGGGTTAAACTCCATGGCGGGAGGCACAGAAAGGGAGTGTGCCCCCCCACCCCCCAGCACACATAGGGGGCAATGGGGGGGGGGGAGGACACAGGGACTCACCCGTTCTGCAGAGCCGTGGTGGGGTCGTAGGTCAAGGTCATGCCACTCTGTGGGGACACAACACCTGGGTCAGGCCTGCCCAGGAGTGCGGCCCCCCTGCCCCCGGCTGCAGCAACCCCCCCTCCTGCCGCCGCGACCCCCAAGGCCGCCACTGCCCTGCCACAGCATCTCACACCCCCCAGACAAGACACACCCATCCATGTCTCCCCCTGCCAGTTGGCAGAGAGACCCCCCCCCCGCCAGCTCGTGGGTTGGGGGCACACCGAACACCCTTGCCCTGCCTCTGCCCCGCCTCCCACTCATTCCAGCCCCCCTCCCTCCCTCACTTTCACTGGGCTGGGGCGGGGGCTTGGGGTGTGAGAGGGAGTGATGGCTCCAGCTGGGGGGGCGGGCTCTGGGAGGGGGCTGGGAAGAGGGGTTTGGGGTGTGGGAGGGGACGAGGGCTCTGGCTGGGGATGCGGGCTCTGGGGTGGGGCTAAGGGGTTTGGGGTGTGGGCTCCGGGAGGGAGTTAGGGGGCGGGAGGGGGTTCCGACGTGGGGCAGGGAGTTCAGGGTGTGGGCTCCAGCCGGGCGGCGCTT